CTCTTTCTCTTTCTTCCTTCCTTCCTTCCGTCCTTCCTTCCTTCCTTCCTTCCTTCCTTCCTTCCTTCCTTCCTTCCTTCCTTCCTTCCTACCTACCTACCTACCTACCGCTCAAATATTCTAGATACAAGGGCACAACCAAGGTGGGGGGTGTGTTCTATGTACATCCCCCAAATGCTCTGTCATGGGGCTCCCAAAAATCTTCTCCCAGTTGTGTCCAAACTGTAACTGTTCTGTGTTGAAGGGAGGAATTTTGATGGAGCTGGAGAATCTGGCATTTAATCTGACTTTAATTACTTTGAAATCAAAATAGAACAAAATCCAAGTTTTGGCCATGCTCACCCACTCTTTACCAAACACCCCGCCCAAAAGTTTATACCTTCCTATTGTAGCCCTTAGCTGCAGTATAGTGGTGAAGGCATTCATGCCTCTGTGCATATGCAGAGTAGTTTCCCCCCTCTAAATATAGCCCAGCTTTTCTTAATCTGAGCCAGAAGGGGAAGTACTCCCAGTTTAGCAAGACTTTGAATTTCAGGATTGTTCCATCTGAAGAAAACGAATCTGTTTATGCCTTTTGGGGGCCGTGTGGGGAGGAACAATAGCGATGGCACACGGTGGTGTTTTCTGTCTGGGGAACCGAATTGATTCCCATCAGCTCAGTCAGCACAGCGTGGATTTGATTTATCATTGCCCAGAGATTGCAGGCAAAAATCCATGGGTTCCATCTCTTAGCTATAGAGAAAAATCAATCAGAACTGTAGGAATTGTGTTGGCAGGAAGAGGGCAGAGACTAAGTGTGGTAGAGAAAATTTTGAATAATGAGGCCTGCAACCCTGATATTGAATAAAATCAGATTACATCTTTCCCGTGAGAGATTTTTGTGGAAAGTTCTCACTTGGGTTTTTTCCCCCAGCAAAGGATAGAGAAGAACGTGGTTAAGGTCCCCATCATCTTGCAGGTCCTTTCTTTTATATTCAGTAGGAAAGCGAGTGACTTGGGAATCGGGGTGAATAGGAAGAATTGGTCCTGGAGGCAGGCTGGAAATCCAGCAGTGCTGCAAACACTCCTCTAACCAGCAGTAACTTGCAAAAAGTTGGTGGTTTCTTGGTGGTTTGCAGACATGGGATGTGCCAGAAGGGAGAGCGAGCACGTGAGAAAAGAATACGGCCAATATTTTCTGACTTGGAGAAAGCTGTGATTAAACCAAGAGCTTATTGTATTCAGAACTGCCCCGACATGGTTTGGAATAACCCCCCCGCCCCCATTAAGACCCTGAGGACTAGCCTGCTAGTTTTTTTGCCAAGGCTTGGTGGGAAGAGCTTCGTAGCTGTAATTGTGGAAGAGCCTAACGAAGCTTTCCTTGGTGCGGTTCCCCCACCTTCCCTTCTGTTCCTTCCCCTTCCTCCCCGCCACACCCCGAAATCTCTTAGAGCTTTGGAGGAAGACGCCAGACTGGAGCGGGGCCTGCAGCAAAGACGCCACAAGTTGAGTCGACGGGAAAAGTGCCGCGTCAGCTGAGGAGCGTTCGTGCCTTTCTCTCCACCCCTGCAGTGTTGCAACGCCCCGCCTGTTTCCCGGACCGCCACCAGCCTGTTGCCCCGGCCTGCTGCGCTTGTCCGTTCACGCAAGGGAGAACTGCTGAGTGGACTTTCCCCCCCTTTTGTGGGGGCATAAATTAAGATGCACTTCCTTTTTTCCCCATGCCCTCCTGGAAGACAAACTTTCGATGGGAATTTATAGGGCAGGGCTCCCCCCGAGCCCCGTTTCTCTCGGGGAGAAATTTGCAAAGATCTGTTTTAGAAACTATTTATTGGGTTGCGTGCGGGTGTGTGTGTGCGTGTGTGTGCATGCCAGGCGGTTCTGGGTTCGAAAACGGGTTGTTTCTCCTCCGTTCTGAAGAAGCTTTGCAAGGGGCTTTTGTTTTCAACTTTAAAAAAAGAAAAAAAAACAACCCAAGCTTGATGGTACCAAAGCCGCATCGTGCCTTTAATGCTCCTAGTGCCAAATGGGGTGACGGGCAAGCTTTATGCCCACCTCTTCCTGGATTTGGGCTTCATTCCTGCCTGGGTATTTTGCACTAAATTTGTATCGGACCTTGGAATAAATGCTTCAAAAGTAGAACCAGCTGGTGAGGGATGCAAAGGTAGGGGTGCATTCATTCACGGAATGAGTTCAGTTTTAATTGTATTGGCTGCACTTTCTGCTGTCATGAAAGGAACGGCTGGGGAAGAGGTCAGCAGCGGAATATCGATGAAAAGTGTTCCTTATGGGAGGGAAGTGAAAGGTTAGCCCAGTGCAGCAAAATCTCTAGTCAAGAGCGGGGTGAGTTTTCCTCCAAGAACTGAGCTGGAAAAAAATCAATCTGGCCCATTCTTGGTGGGAGGCAACCGTGAGCTTCGTTTAGAAGAGCATTTCCTGACCTTGGCAAGGTCCAGATGTGTGGACTTCAACTCCCAGAGTTCCGCAGCCATGGATGAGAATTCTGGGAGTTGAAGTCCACATCCTGGGAAATTGCCATGGTTGGGAACTACTGATTTAGAAGCAGTTTCTGCTCTGGCAGCTGCTAATTGCTGCCTCATCAAAGTTTTGGCAAGGCGGGTTTTCATTCTCATGGAAGCAACAGAACAGCCGCATTAAAGTGTCCTTTTCACCATTTTAAAAGCCAGGAGGATCGGTGGTATCTTGTGCATGAAACAGCAATATTTTGTTACTGGGGAAAAAACCCCACAAATACAGTTGCAATAAAAATAATAAAACGAGCACCATCTTCTGTACTACTCGCTGGCTGTGGTCCCTGAATATAAAATGTTCTTTAAAATAAGCAAAGGATGACCCTTTTGGTTGTGCCATTTCTGTTCGAAAACTGGACCTTTTTATTCTTGTCGAGAGTTTGTAAGGTTGGGAACGGAGCACCAAGTCCAAGCCTAACTCGATCGAATTGTGCAAAATTCATCCCCCCGTGCCCCAAAAGATCTCTCTCTCCCTACTAGGCCTTCTCTCTAAACGGGAGAATATTGGGGGGGATTTGTGGGTGCTGTTAGTGTGTAGTGGGAGGGTCACGCCGAGTGGCCCCTCTTTCGGTTAAACTCTCAGGGGAGCAGAGTCCGAGATTGGTGGTCAAGGCAAGTTGATCCCTGGTCACGATTCCCAGACGATCGTCCTCCTCCGGCGGCGAGTTGCAGGACGGAGCAAAGAAGCGAACAGCAGCCCGGATCTCTTGCAGCTGGTAAGCTGTTTCCAGGGTCACCAGCATGGCTAGCAAACCGATGAGCAGGTAGCCTGAGAAAGGGCAGAGAAGGTAAAGTGACTCGAGGTGACTTTGTGACCATGCCGGGCAAGGGCATGGAAGTAGTTTGGCTTGGCCTCCTTCCGGTAAGTTTTTTCAACTTGGCAACCAAGCTTACAATCCTGGCATTTCCTGGTGGTCTCCCATCCACGAAGCAAGTCTGACTCAGACTGTATTATCACTTTCCCAGTCTCGTCTACAGCCCTGAGATTGCTTTGTTGTCTCCTAAGAGACTGGATAACCAAGTCCAATCCTATTTAGCTTTCCAAGGTCAGCCAATGTTGGCTAGGTGTCGTGGCTAAGATGGGTTATGGGGGGGGGAGTGGAGAACAAGTGAAGAACTCTCCCCCCCATGTCTCCTCTTGCAGTCTAAAAGGCTGGGGTCACACAGGAAGCGTAATTATGTCACTGAAAGTTCTCCCAGTTAACATTTGCACAAACAGCCTATTGGATTAATTTATAGTTCAGTGGACTTGGTGCAGCTCCAGAAGATTAATTCTGTAATCCTGTTTAGTGTATGTGTGTGTGTGTGCACATATATGTGTGCACCCATACACACACTACAAATATAGATCGGGGCAATTGTGCCCCTACCCATTTTTGCGCCCCTAAATCTCTAGCTACTCTCTATTGTATTTTGATTTCTCCAAGAGACAAGAAACTTATGAAAAATGGAGTTTAAACTAGGCTTAACCCAGTTAAACAAACATGCTCTTCCTCAGCATAACAAAACTCAGCAAACTAACAAATCCTTTTCCTTGCCATGCCTGGATTCACCCCAAAATTTAACCCTAAGCCTAGCCTAGCAAACCAGGTGCTGTTTATTCACCTGTTTTACCTAAATCCTGGCTCAGTGCAGCCAGCCCGGCTTCTGACTTTTACTCTCCGAATCCTCAGGCTGCAAGATTCTGGTCATGTTAGCTGGGGATGATGGGTGTTGGAAGTCCAGCACACCAAGACAGCACATTAGCTTTCCAGTAGTCCAACTGAGATCGGTTTTGCCCTCCTGACCTCTAAAACCCCCAAACCGAAATATCTTTGCTTGTTGCTCGTGAGAACCAATCATTTTTTTAAAGCAGGACCAGGGTGGGCACAGTGGCATAGCCTGTATCAGGGTCCTACCGGTTGCTGGGGGGCCCTATCTATTCTGCAGACTGGCTCTAGGTTTTGGGGTGCCTTTGGCCAGGAGCAAATATCTTCCCCTCTTTGCTGCAATTCAGCTCAATCCTCCATCTTCCTGGGCCTTGTCCTTCAAGCCGGACAGAAGAGCAAACCGCGATGGGGAGAAAAATGCTCCCGAGAGTCAATTAAGGGACGCAGATCCTTTCGCCAGTGACCTGGATTCCTGGATGCCAGACCCATCCCTCCCGCTTAATTTCTGACGACTTACAAGTGAGGCTCAGCTCGTAAAGCCCATGGAGCGATGGTTGCGAGCTGCCTCGGGGTACAAAGTCCCCCAAGCCAATGGTGCTGAGCGAGATGAAGCAGAAGTATATCGACTCCAGGAAGGTCCAGTTGTCCTCCAGGGCCCAGAAGCAGATGGCAGGGACGAGGATGAAGAGGGTGAGGGTGGCTAACCCCAGCACCATCGAGTGTCCTAAAGCCACGTGGGCCCGCGGGAAGCCCCAGCGGGCGTGAATGTATTGCACCGGCCGGTAGCTTAGGAGGGGCAACAGGACTCGGAGTAGGCAGGTGACGAACAATAACGTTGCTGGGATGCCCAGAAAGCAATAGAAGATGCAGAAAACTTTGCCCCCGTCCGAGAGAGGAACCATGTGTCCGTAACCTGTGATCAAGAGGAACAATCCTGGAGAAACTGCATTTATTTAAATTTTGCCTTTTCCCCCCTTTTGCTCTGCAAACCTGAGACCAGGATGGAAGGGGATCCCCTTATTTTATCCCCACTGCTACAACCTTGGGGGGGGCTGAGGGGGACGGACCTTCCCTTCAGCCCTCCCCTCTCATGTCCTTCTTACCTTTATAATAGTGGTTCGCTCAATTGTGACTTAGGGTTTCTGCAAAGCCAGTAGTTGTGGTTGATGTCACACAGTTAAACTAACCATGGTTAAGCCTTGTGGATGGAATAGATTACTGTACCTTCTTGCTGCCAAATCTTCCAGACTCCTGGTGGCTTACAAACAAATCATGGCTTAGATGGTGATCATCATCATCATTACTAAAATCTTTATGCTACCAAATCTTTTGGATTCCAGTAGCTTACAAATTATTTATTTGTCAAATTTATATAGCCCCGCCCATCTCACAAAAAGTGACTCTGGGCGGCGTACAATTAATTAAAAAATTATTATTATTTGTTGTCACCATAAGCACACTCTGGCTAGATTTGGCATCCTATGCACACTTTTAATTCCAGGAAAGTGAATTGGTGTAATAATTATTTGGCTTCGGAAGCCACTTATTTCCGTAAATGATGGGGGGTGAATGGAATTGATCTGAATTCAGTATTAAAGGAATGCCATCTCTTGCCCGGCTCCTAAATTATGGGATGCACACCTTCTCAAAGCTGCATCTGGTCCTCATTCTCTTCCCCTTTAGAAGATGGGTCAGGTTTTAAAATGTTAACGATTTAGTAGGATCTCTCTCTGTGTATTTATACATTTAAATAGGAGCTTGTTTGATCTGGATTGAGTTTTTTTTTTTTTAAATAAAAAAAAGTTGTCACCATAAGCACACTCTGGCTAGATTTGGCATCCTACGCACACTTTTAATTCCAGGAAAGTGAATTGGTGTAATAATCCCTTTCTAACTGGCATGCCTGCCCTGGGGAAAACAATTTCAATCACTGTGGAATTGAAAGTGTATTAAAAGGGTAACAGATTCTGACAGTCACCAGCCAAGCACGTGCATTTCACAGCTCCAGCCTCTCCAAAGGGATAGGGGGAAAAAATAGGAAATTATGAAAAATTACCAATTCATGAAATACGGGACAGGATTATCTTGTGTTTTTGTGACCCAGAAGGGCCTATGTTCAGTAACTGCCGAGAGTTGTAAGGAGTGGGTGGCATATTCATTTAATATATTATTATTATTATTATTATTATTATTATTATTATTATTATTATTATTATT